TCGTTAATATTATCCTTATGGAGTACATCTCGCGCGCTCTCTGCGTAAAGAGCTGCGGCTTTCTCTTCTGGCGAAGTTAATTTATCTTTATCGGACGGGGATTATTACCGCGTAATTATTCGACGATTCTTGTGCGGCTTTATAGAACGAAGTATCGCAGTAACCGATAACTAACCGCGCGTCCGAGCCACTCGGTGTGTGCTTATTTTTAAACGGACTCCGTTCGAATTCATTACACTCGCGCAACCGATCGATTTATCGATCGCGCTATTTGTTAGAAAACTATTTCCGAAGTTGTTTTGAATCCCCTTGCCCAAGCGATTTGAAGTTCACAATATATACCGGTTTGTAACACTAGTACGTGTAATATATATATATACAATATATATATGTATACATTTTTTTATTTTTATTTATTTGTTTTTCGAGAGGTATGTTATCGATAAGGTTTATCTGGTTTCAAGTTAAATTGCCGTTTCTCGATTAATAGTATCACGAACAGCGCTCCCAATATTCTCTAACTCATGCACGAAGGATGTGGATGGATATCGCAGCGATATTGCCGCGCGGTAATATCACGAGTTAAGGATTAACTCGCGCGTGGCTAGAGTTTTAAAAGTACTGTGACCTACTGGCAAAAACGCGATTGCATATTATCGCGTCCCACGACGCGCGTTATTTAGCGTGTAAACCATCGCGTGCGCGCTGCCCCACGGGCTGCTGCCGGCCCGTAAAACAATGCTCTAACCGCCATATAAACGTTATATCCACGGCTGACCGGAGAATAAAACAATGCGCGCGCGGCACGAGAGCGAACGAGAGAAGCGCGGCACCGATTGCCGGTGACATCTGACGTGATCGGAACTACGGCGGTGGTCTCTCGTCGGACAATCGAGTTTATCTGCCGCGTCGTCGACGAGATCGCCGGTCCCGATTAAGGTCCTCCGGATCGGGAGCGAGGTCACGAGAAGCGGAATGAAGCTCCTCACGACTACGGCACTTCCATTTTGAACGGTAAATCAGCGGGTTTAAAAGGCGGCGAGACGATGCCAGCGGCTCGGCTCACCGAGCGCGAGATCAAGGCGCGCATTAGTTGCATTTGACGTTGAGCGTCAGCTGCATCCGCGCACTTTTGCACGTGCATACACCGTGTCGTCGCTGACGTTCGCCGTCTTTTCGTCGTCGAATCCTCTCCGCCCGACTAAACTCGCGAGGCAAAAGAAAAGCAAACGACGAACACGTGCGACGTCGTTGGTTTTCAACTCTCCGTGTTTTTCCTTTCTTCTTTCGTCGTTTCGGATTGTGGTAATTCGTTGTCGCTGTTTCTTTTTGTTCGTTGAGAAACGAAAAGAAGAAAGAAAGAGAAATTTCGTCGCGAATCCCCGCGGACAATGATTTATATGCAGCGGATTCGCGTAAGTTATGGACTCCCATCCCTGATGCAATCATCCAACATTCTGATCCAATCGTAAATCTGGTTAGGATATCGTCGTGGAGTAATATATATATATATGTATATATTGCCAAAGTCCCTTTTTCTCTCTCTCTCTCTCTATCTATCTATCTATCTCTCTGTCTCTCTCTATCTTTGTTATTGTTTTGATAACGAAATAACCGCAGTAGAGTGACCACAGGGTAGCGTAACGCTATAATTAAACTGTGGCGCAAGCTCCAGAACGCTTTGAAAAATACCTATTTGAAGCGACAGAGCGTGTTTATTGGGAATTGATTTGATACTAATTTTGTTTATTTTTTATTAAATTTGATCGAATCAAATATAGTAAACAATTTGATCGATCATGGATATTTAAGCGATTTTAAGTTCTTTTTTTTTTCACGTATCACCTACACGTTATTCTATCCTTTTCACGCGCGTTCTGACATCGGTACAATGCAGCCTTCGCGCGCGCGCGCAAGGTAAAGCCCTTTTTCGATTCAATCCCGGACCGCGCCACCCACCGGCGCAAAGAATGTTTAATATCAGATTTCATGCGGGACCGCGTCGAGAACGGGCGGGGTTCGTTCATTTGGGGGTCGTCCCGGTGCCGTCGTGAATGATGTTCGGCGAGCCACATGAAGGCCCGATATCAAACGCGACGACGGCTTTGTTTCTGACCGACGTAAACTCCGGCGGGAATTCCGCAGCGGAATACCGCCGTACGCAGGAAGGTTAGCCTCGGAAGAGACTGTTGAGAGTTTGCGAGGTAAACGAAACCTCGTCGGGGGGTCATGGTTTCTCCTTTCGGACCTCTTATTATCTTGAACTGGTCTTTCTTTGCGCTACCACGGACGTTACACTTCGCCGTCTCGCAGAAGCGCTCTTTTGCCAACAACTCACGCAAAGCGCGTGTCAGGATTTTTTTATTTTTTATTTTTTTTATCTTTTAAAGAAATTTATATTCCTGCAACCTGCGCACGATGTTGGATATTCCAAGATTCTCGCGGAAAATCCAGGGACGAGCACCGTCTTCGCGAAAACAGCCCCCGAGGTTTTCTCCTCGAGCTCTCTCTCTCTCTCGTCTCTTCCCTCTCGCAAAAATAAATACGCCGCGTATGTCGCGTTTTTCTTAAATTAGAATCTTGCCGCAACGCGCGAAACGAACGTTTCGACATTCCCGCGGAACCGCTTTGTGGGTTGTCAAAAATGTGTTTTCTAATATAACATTTAAGAATACAAATAAGCTTCAATGTTTCGACGACATGTTTCAACGAGATATTCTGAATTCTTAAAAAAAAAAAAAAACGTCGTTTTCAACTTTGAAGTATAAAACAAACTCTTGATAAAGGATTATCTGTAATATATTAAAATGTTATAAAACAAATTCTTAAATAAAACTCCAGTAATTAAATAGTATCGAATTTATTTGATAGCTGAGAGAAATACGGTTCACGACAGAACTGCTTAATTGTCAGAGTTTTAAAACACCGCGGATGTTTATTGGATATTCATTGATGTGCAACGACATAACAATATATCAAATTTTTTTTATCGCAATAATCTATATTTAAAATATGTGAATTATCTTTCGTTAACTCTCTTCTTCTTTCTCTCTTGCAATGTACGTGTATGTAACTTGTAAATAATTTTGTGCAAAACATTCTACCAAGTAGAAGAGAGTGTAATACAGTTAGAAAAATAAGCTGGCCCAATCTTGCAGAAATTGCATCAGAATGAAGTTATTTTACTGCGCGTATATAAAATGACGAAATGGAATTTTTGTAGCGCGCTTTCGCGAAAAAAAAAATTCCAGTAAGAACTTGCTGGAGAATTCCACACGCGAATGTTACACAAAAAGGCTTCAACGGCAAAACTAGGAAGCTGCAACCGTGAATCCGCGCACGTTGCTCCCGTGTGTATGATTCTTTTTCGTTTCTTCGTGTATGTTATTTCTTGTTCTGTCGGCCGGGCGCGTAAAGTGCAACGACAGAAATGGGTGACACCGTCCTGGATGCTCTTCGAAATAGAAGCACGTCAACCGTGACGAAAATAGGATTTAAAAATTGTCTTCAAGGAGAAATAATTTCGGAATATTATTCTTTTGGATATATAGATAACAAGCTAGAAGAAAAAAATCCAGTTTCAAGTGTGCAATTTCTTTAGATGTTAAACTTGTAGAAAAAAAAAAAAAAAAAAAACATTGAAGCAAAGAAAACAAAATATCAAAGAGAAAATAAATAACGCAACATGTACATGCGCGTGATAAAGAAAAAAAAAAGAAAAAAAAATGTACTCTTCTTGTGTAAAATAATCCTTATCGGTAATTGTATCTCCCCCTCCTCTCCCATAATCATTTACAAGATGAAATGTAATCCCGTTGCTGCTACGCGACCAGAAAGAAAGAGAGCGGAAAACATGTCACAACGTTTCCCGTTAAAGCGCATTATTAAACCATGAGAGAATGACGCGTATAATTACGCTCCGAAAGAACAAACAGCGAGAGTTTAATTACGCAATTTTTGCTCGCAAACCAGCTCATCGGCAAAAGCGTAATATAATATGTTTACGGGGCGATGAAAGCCCCCGATGTGCTGGGTCTCTATCTCTATATCTCTCTCTATCTCTCTTTCTCTTATGCGATATCGCGATGACAATAAATAGGCAACGTTATCTCTCGCGCGTTCACCGAGAGAGAAGTGAACTAAACGACCCTCTCCATAACGAACTTTGTATATCCTCTTCTCGCAGCATCCTTAGTTAAGTCGTACGTCAAAGCGCATATAGGATAATTACACGCTCTACATATGCTCTTACACACTGACTCGCTCGCGCGCGTTTTGTGTGATCCTTAGTTTTCAAAGGTGGATCTTAGTAAACCTCACGCATGATTAGCTTAATCTCCGCGTGTATTAGATGCACCCTTCTGTGAGAAAAGCTTTAGTTCTTAATCAGCATCGTATGCGATACGTGCACACTCGAGTTCGTGTCAACAATACGACTTCATCCGGATTAAACGGCAAAAGAACGAATAAATATATTCTAATATTAGCGCCGAGAGATATGAAACACACAAACACAAACACACACACACATACGCGCGCGCGCACATGTGTATCCCTCAAAGGTTTTAGAGAGAATATGTAGAAAATTTAATAATAATCACACGTATAACATTATTCGCGCATAAAGCAGTAGTATAATTACGGATATAATAATAATAACAACAGAAATAATAGCATGATAATGACAATTATTAATTACAACCGTAATACCGGTTATAATCACAGATAATATCACAAAGCTTTAGGCTACATCAAATTTCACTATACACTGATTTAGATATTTTGCGCACCGTTCAACGTATTTTGTCATTTATCGAAAACTAAACTTAGAAATTTACTCGCGAAAAGAAAAACTCGCAAATATATATACATATATATATATATATATATATATATAAAATTTACATAAGTATATATAGTTAATAAAATTTTGGTCTTAAACGGTAGACGTGTACGCGGTACTTCAATATCATAAAGGAAATATATCTTTCTTTTTGTAGACATAGCACACGGCAACTTCACGCCCGAGGAAGCACCGACAACCGAATCGCCGATCCAAAGCGATGTTTTCGTCGAGAAGAACGGCGCGACCGAGGGCGAGCCTCCGGTCTCGACGGCGAAACACGACGATCCTACATACATGGCGGTCGTGATCGGCGTATTGACTGCCGTGATACTTTCGCTCGCTGTGGCGATGTTTCTGATAATCTCACGATACAGACAACGCAAATGCTTCGCCAGCCCGATGACCGGTAAAGCTCCTTCTCATCTGGGATCCACCTGCGCCACTGTTGAGAAAGGCGCGGCTTTGATGGCGTACACTCTGGAGGATGACGAGAGGTAAAGAAATCGATCGTTTGATGATTAATGAAAAAAAATCACAAGAGAGTTGCTAAAATCAAATAAAATAAAACTGTTAAATAAATTTGCAAACACATCAATATTTAATAAATAATTAATACTCAATCGCGCTATCAGTAAAAATATAGATATATATTTTAATATATAAATTTTGTTGTATATTATGTAACTTTGTACGTTTTACGTGATATTTTTTATACGCGACCGTGTGGACGTCTAGACGGACCGGATACAGAACCGTGCAGAAAAAAAGCAAACATTCGTTTTTGCATCCGCGCGCGAACCGTGGTTAATAATAATACACGACCGGCTACCTCCGTACGCCGTATTCTTCATTTCTTCGAAGTTTGTGTTCGCTCAGGACACGCTCGGCACGATGACGGAAGCAACCTTCCAATAAACTTTCCATCCACCGTTGCTCGTTAGCGAACGTCCAATAACGTCCAATAACGGACATCCTCGGGCAATATATCGAGTTTGTGTGCGGCACGAATGTCTCCAGAGGAGATCCTCGGGCCTCCGCCTCGTAACTTCGAAGCATCCCGCACGAGCTTCGGCATCGATCTCCCTGAGCTCCCTGCCCGCTTTGTGCAATCCGATATTGCAGTTGCGAGCTTCGTACCAAAAGAGAGGAACGTGTAACGTGCAATTTCAAGTAGGCGTGCGAATGTTGCGCTTGGTCCTTTGACGGACCACGTTCTCCGCAACGCTAAAATTTGCGAACGCGGAAAATATGCTGCTCTTCTCGAAAACCGAAAGATCCGTTCGATCAGCAGAATAAAGTTATTTCAATGCACTTTTCGTAGTTTTCTTTAAACGCGATGCCGATCGCATTTGTGATACCGGGTATCTCGCATTGGTTTATTTATTACAATTTGCAAAGTGTAAACCTCATCTGTGTGTAATATCACGCGTACGCTTTGATAAAATATTTACATCAATTTAAAAAAAAAAAAACTAATCAATATGTGAGTTACATGAAAATTTGTTTATCTGAAATGTTATATATATAGTTAACAATGTTTTACTCAAATTTTGTTGCAAAATAGCAGTTTTCGTAAAACTCGGTTCTTCTTTTCGTGAGACTTTTACATGTTACTCCGGTGACATGGCAGGCAGCTGAGATTTAGCTCGTCGGGACAACGTCTTTTTTATCTCTTCTCTTTTGTTTTCTCTTAGATACGCGGGCAGTTCTCTGCCGACTTTGCCGCTTGACCTCGGGAATCGTCTCATGGACATCGTGAAGTTGGACGACTACCAGGAGCCGTACCAGGCGTTAAAATACGCGCCGTACTACAGCTACAGCACCGTCGTTATGGAGATGAAAGACATGATGGTGAACAACAAGGGCACCAACATCAATCACTCAGGTATGCGGCGCTCGAACGCATCTACACCTACATGCTATATGGCGCGTGCTCGCGATTACGCACGCACGCACATTAACACACTCACACATATACACACACACACACACACATACGCGCGCATATATTCGCGTAACATATACATCCAACTCGCGGCTCCTGTGCCAACGGTGCACCCACATACGTCCCGGCAACAAAGCATTCGCCCTGACCGCAATCAATACGCCATCCCCTTCTGCGCTCGCTCCTCCTTTGCTATATCATCCGCAGCGGTGTACGCGAACGGTGCAGTTGACACGTCCTACGATTATGCGGTACCGGAACTCGGCACGGTGCCCTTGCTCAATCAGGACGCCGGCGCCGGCCGCGGGGCAGCCGTCTCCAACGCCACCAGCGATCAGGACAGTCTTTTCTCCAAGAGCTCGCGAGCCACGAAGACCGAGGATAAGAAGGTGAGAGAACATACATTCTGTAATCTTAATTTTCTTTACAAATTTCATTCTATTTCGATTGAAACTTATTACGGCGTTAATTCATGTGTGCGTTAATTAAAGCTCGACCGAGATTAAAACGGAAGTGAAACAGAAAATCACAGACAAGTACTTTGTATAATAATAAAATAGCGAGAGTTTTAATAATTAATTCTAATTATATAAAAACAATCAAAAAAACATAAATGACGATCTCGATACGTGCGCGTATAAATAAACAGGATAACTTAAAAACAAAATATACGTTCTTGTTCTCGCGCCGTTGTTATATATCTCTCTACCGGTCGGAGGTAAAGTTCACAATTAATAATTTAAATCAATATGGCGGAACGAGAGAGTGTGGAACATACTCATTTCGAGCGAATATATTCCCCGTGGGTACAATACACATATCGTATCCAGAATGCCAGAACACCGTGCGAGGGCGGAAAAGAATCTCTCTCGAGCTGAAAACCAAAACGCGCCGAGACGATCCCCCCTGGGTTCTCATCGACATAAAAAAGATTCACGGGATCGCGGTCGAAGGTCATTTTAAGACCGCACGATCGGCGCTTGACGTTGATGTTTTTTTTTTTATTTTTTTTTTTACGTACGTGCGATACTGATCGATTGGCACAGACACACGCGAACACAGCGAGAGCTCGCCTTGAAAACGTCAGTTCGAATTTGCGCACCTTTCCTGTAAAGAAATAATAGAATGTAAAGATAAAATCGCGCGTTCCTTTTCTTATCGCGATTAATCCGCATGTCAGTATTGAAATTGTTCGATCGTGCAACGAAAGAGAGAGTTACGTGTTTTTGCTTGTGCCGTAAATCTTTCACACATTTTTTGCGTCTGTCTTAAAAAAAAAAAAGTGATTATCTTCATTATCTTCATTTTTTTTCTATCTATCTGTGACGTAATAAAAGTAATGTTAACGAGTTTATTTTATCTCGTAACTCTCGCGCGCGCGAAGCGGAGATAATTAAAAGCGACGATCTCCACGATTGGATCGCCTCGCGAGATATCATTCGTGTGACGGAAACGACACGACGTCGGAAAAGGATAATTAACTAGCGAGCGAACAGAGCGGCACAAAAACCAGTGTGTAACCGCCGCCGTCCTGCTTAGACAATAAATCGCTATCGTAGCTCGAGGGAGAGAGAGGTTTCCATACGGGCCGGAAATAAAACCGGAAACTGCGGTGCGGTCAGCGCGCGATGTCCGCGAAATCGATCGATCCGATCGATCGCGCGTCGCCGCGGCCTGTAAACTAACCACCACCCCCACCTCCAAATCCGACAAAACGCGTCGACGGGAGGGCCTTTTCGCGAGAATACGCCCGCGCCGTAGCACAACCCTCATGGAATGTATTATCATTACGTGGTCCAGTGGCTTCCGGACGAGTTCGCTCCGTTAATTGCGAAGAGAAAGCGCGTCGTGTGTAATCACGTTTTCAAACAGTCCCGCCTCCACCGGTAGGCTTTCCCGCGGGAAGCATCGCAGCCGACATCGCGAAAATATTACGTGATAGGGGTTGATTTTATACGAGCCGACCGATATCTCGATATCGGATGTCGCGCTTATTTCTCGGCGAAAGAGCCGCAGCGCTCGTACGCGTAGATATTTCATGACGCGGATAATTTCTTTCGTTTTTGTTTTTTTTTTTTTTTTGTTTTTTAAGAGCCGCGTATATGCGATATAAACCCGGATGGAATAAGCGCGACGTCCGCTGGTATAACGTTTGTGCAATAGAGTAATAACGAAATGACATCGCGCTCAAAAGATACACGTTACAGAGAGGATAAACTGTTCTCTCGCTGACGGTATAAATAACTGATCTTGGATTGCGTTGGGATTATACGCGAATGACACCGCGCGCGCGACTATCTGTCCATTGACGCGTATTTTCACAAAAAATCTGGACAGTCGAATATAAAAATACGTCTCGCTCGCACATGGGAAAACGAGCAAGCTACGGAAATTTGTAACGATCGCTCTTATCACCGAAAATTTCAAAATGAATACATACGGTTATATATGTATAGTCGTATATATACAGATTATTTGGGTGTTTTTCGAGTTTTTTCCTTTCATTATATAATATTCGTGAATTGAGATTTTACACATCGCGCGAGAGGGGAAATAAAGAACAAGGAAAGAATACTCGAGATAAGCATTTGTCGTTCCGCTCCCGCGATCGATTCCGTTGTGAATTCTCCACGAGTGCAAACCGCTTCCTCCACTCGAACGAGTCCTTTCTCCCGCGTCGAGAGATACACGTGTGTCCTGCCGGATAGACACACATCTGGCATTCGCGGCTTTACAACCGAGTTTCCGCGGCGTGAATCGCGGGAGATTGATCCGAACACAATGCTCCGAACGGGACCGCTCGGAGGATCCCGAAAGTGCCCGTCTACGTCGAGACGTCTGCGTGTGATTGACATCCGACAGCGCCACTCGAAACAGTCAAAACATTTCAACCCCCGTGTCGCGTCGAGTCTGGCCTTGACGCTTCGTAGCGACGCCAATCATCCTCCTCGACGGATTCACTGTTATCCATAAAACGAGGATTGCTCGGCGCAAATACTCGGCGCGGGTCCGACAATATTTCCTTTCATCGCGTACTTACTTGCGAAGAGAGCGAGAGAGAGAGAAAGAGAGAGAGAGAGGGAGAGAGAGAGAGAGAGAACGTTTGACAAACAACTTCCGCGATTATTTACAGATTCTCCGAATAAAAGCAGTGAGTGTATATCGCATATTATTGATCATTCCGCGAATTCACTGGCTTTTCTTTAACACGCGATCAATGAAATATTTATAAATCATATTATACACACTCTTCGTCGCGTATTTCATCTTCTTTTAAAAAGAGAGAATCTCCGAGTGTGTGTGTGTGTGTGTGTGTGTGTGTGTGTAATACAAATATCTCTCAACGGTATTTCTTCCGACATCATTTTTCCTCGCTAAAGCAATGCGATGTTCTATAAATGTTAAATATCATGTAACTACTACACACACACACACACACACACTTATGTGCTTCGGATAAGGCGTCGTATCATAAATCAAGGCCGTTCTGTCGTTGAAAATAGCGCGAGATATATCACGTCCGATCTAACATTCTACGAGCCCGTCGACTTTTACCAATCGACAATGGAATAGTTGGCGATCAATAGAACACTTGTAAGTCGTGCTACAGTTCCGTGTGCCCTCTCGTGCACTCGGGGAATCCGCAGACGCGAACACGAAAGGAGAGATATAACCGAAGGGTGGAGGCGAAACGTCGAACGACGGCCGTAGATTCTGCGCGATACCCGAGACGATGCGCCCCGGCGCGACTAGCGTGATCATAGATCGTTGATTATCATCGGATAAGCCGGCACAATGCATTTGCGCTTTCGTGTTGCAGTCGCCGACTCAACAGGAGGTACTCTCGGCCCTGAAGAGACGTCTGGAGCAAACCAGCGTGCCGCTCTTCCCACGGCATCGCCTTCGCATGCTCTCCAAGCTCGCCGAAGGGGCCTTCGGAACGGTAATGACATTATTATTACATCCGCGAATAATAAGTATATATATATATATTTCCGATTAGACACGGGTTTCGAATTAACAAGGCGAGCGTTTTTTTTTTTTTTTTTTTTTTGCGCTTAATCAATTGCAATTAACGCCAACGATAGCTTTAGTCTCGGAAACAAACTCGCGGAACAACTTCGCAATAAAAATAAATCGTTGCGTTTGCCACAAGTTTTCGAGATTGTTTAAAAATTCAGTTTATAAAACTTGTTCGAAAAGATCTCTCGATAAAATACAATTCGATTTATCAAAAACTTTTACGCAATATTTTATATCGTTCTCGCGCGACGAGGGAGAGACACGTGTGGAATTACTGCGATATATGTATACCGTAGAATTCGAAAATTTGGTTACGACATCGCGTTACGACAATTAATTTATCAATTCGCACCGCGAGTTGTATTTGCGCGTGCGCCGAGAGAAACAAAGTTCGCGAGCGCGTGAATTCACACGTATATAGGTTTTGAAACGTGTTGCAACCGCCACCTCCGTCACGACGACGATCGCGAAATCAATCCGTTTGTTGGCCGCACGGCGCTCACGGGCAATTCAGCGTGCGCCGGATGCGCAACAATACGTCGATTAACGAAGTGCCCGGGACGCGCGTTATTCTTCCCCGGCACAATGGCGCCTCGTCGGGGTCGTCGAGGATAATCAGTTTAGGATGCGTTAGAGCGGCTAATAATTCCCTTTTGTTTCCCCGCCCCCGGGGGCACCGACGATGCGTCGTTAATGACGAGGCGGACGATCGTCGAAACGCGCGCTTCGCAGCAGATCGCCAGTTGTCGCGTCAGACATCCGCGCGCGTATTTGCCGTCGCAACGCGCGCGCGCACAGTGGAACGGGCGCTATACATGCGTGATGCTCGTGCGGACTTCCCGTATTTGATCCGAGATCGCGGACACGTTGATCTTGGACCTTGTCGACGTACGATGCAGAAATCAATTGCGTTCTCACGCGCGAGATCGCGTCGGAAAATTATCGAATTCCTTTATGCGCAATATCACGAGAGAGGATGCGAAGAGTCGCGCGACGCATCGCGCGATCCTGCACATACGACGATCGATTATTCTTATATAGTTAGTCCGTCCGGGAAAGCCCGTGGAAGAGAAGGATTTGAACAGTTTTTTTTCCGAGACGTAATGTATTTTTACGTACTATACCGGTTAATGAAAAGAATATATTTCTTTATTACGTATTATCGCGAAATGAAAGAGGAATAAAAATATTTTATCAAGAAAAGTAACTTGAATTTATGTGCAAAGTTATTATTATCCGCGCGTTATTACCATATCGCGCTCACATTTTCAGATAGAATATGATAATGATATAATAAAACTAATAAAAAAAAGTCTTGTGTGTAAAAAAAAAAAAAAAAAAATTACGTATGTAAAATGAGATTACGGCGAAAAATCGCAAGAATTTGACGAAAAATTTCTGTTGAAATTCATTCCGCGGTAATTTCTATGCATATGCGTGACACAATTCAAACCAATTACGGTGCATATAAAGGTATACGTCGCGGAAGCTGAAGGGATTCCGGAGTACGGAACGACAACTACCCTCGGCAAACGACTCGTCGCCGTCAAGTTTTTACTGCCGGAAGCCAGCGAGAAGGAAAAGTAAGTATACATCTGGTATGGAAGCCGCGCAATTTGCATTCTGTTTCGTTCTTGTATAGCGGATGCTCGATTGAGCGCGTACATACTTTCCGCTAACCCGTTTCCGCCGCATGTGAACCTTTTACACCCATTGCACGAAAGACCGGTGTGGGGTTTTCTACGCTTGCTATTCTCGCCCGCCATTTTATGCAGCGGCATCCGCTTCTTTCGTCGGTCGATAGATCACGCGCTGCCTCGCATTTGTAAACCGAAACGGGTATCGATAGCCGGCGAACGACATCAAGAAAGATAAAATACTATTTCCCAGGCGTATCGCGAGAGACAAATCGATCTCAGAGTACTAGATGAAGATATACATTTATCTTATGCATTAGTATACCGTACGTGTTCGTCGAATACAATAGTATTGCCTTTTAGAAAACTATCTCGCGATCGTTGCATGCGCGCCGCGCCGACCTCGAACTCGCGATCACGACACGCGAGTGTGTTTCGTTTTCGTCTCGCGGTATAACACGTAAAAAAACTTGTGAAATTCATGTATATTTAAAAAAAAAAAAAAAAAAAAAAAAACCAACAAAAGATTATTAATTCTTGCGAGATAAAAACCGGAAGTTACAATATTTCACACGAAAGCACGGATAAACGGGAGAGAGCCCAACGGGCAGAAGTTTAAATTATGCAGAGTCGGGCACATCGAATTTAAAAGCTATACAGATCGACTCCGCGGTCGAATGATAACGCGACGTCTCGCGTCGCGACGCGGCGTGGAAGCCCCCGCGGCGAAACGTCCGGATATATATACCTCGTCCTCGGACGATCGTTCTCGCGGTTATCGCGTCAGACATCAGAAAAAGGCCAGTTCGATTCCACGAATGGAACGGATTTGCATACAATGACCGGGGGAGAGATAGGATATCGGGGGACTTTGGTGCGCGCGCTCTCTCTCCGACGATGTGTGCCGACCGACGTGCGGAACGACGGACGGGGGGGGAGGGGGGGGCGACCTCGTAGCGGGAGATGACAAAGCTTCCTTCCGACTAACAGCGACGAAAATCGACGACCCTCCCCCTCCCATTAGACAGCACACACCGGTCCCGTCGTCGCGCCTAGACTCTAGACGGGATCCGAGAAGAGAAATTTCGTCGACTCTCTGTCCGTGGAGTAATCTGTCGGACGTCTGAGACGACGCGAGCTAGAATAGCGAGCAATTTGGCTGATTTAGCGCGCGCCAGTGTATCTACTTGCGCGAAGGATCGCACTGTGTGTGTGCGCGGCGCGATCCGTGTAACAATTTCCCGTTGCACAGAGCGTGTGTTGGCGCGCACGAAGTGATTGCGCGAACGTCTTCTTGAAAATGATCGATTCGCTATTACTTTGTTAATTGATTACATTGTGTAACTTTTATATATTGTAATTAACAAATCTTTGTCGCGCGCGACTGATATTTCTTCGCGATTGATTTAAAATCAGACAAAAAAAAACCACTCGAGATCAATTGCTCAACAAAAATTGCTTCGTCGTTAAATGTCCATCGACAACGACGTAGAGACGTGCGCAATCCTATGGAGCGAAAACAATTAAAGCTGTTAGTTTTGTTAACCACTTCCATCGCACGGAGCATCGCGCGCAGCTTTCGAATTTCGTCGTATTTTATACTCGCGCGAAAGATTCGTGGATCTTCGATCGTCGTCCGCTCACGCAACAAGTTTCCCTATCGCGCGGATGACTTATAGCGTCTCGTGACTGCTGCCGTCGGCGTGTTCACCCTCCGAGACGCGAGCAGCTGCGGAAACTACACAACTCTGCACTCTCTTACGCATGTGAGAGATGAAGAGCGCATCTTTTTTTTTTTTTTTTTTTATCACGAGTGTCGAATTAATATTCGAGTTGATCCAACTTTTAATTAAACGTTTTTATTTATATTTATATTATTAGATTCGTCGTTTTAATTGCACGATTGCGTGTCACATCTCGTCTTCTTGCATATCGTCGTCGAACTATCTTCCGTTCACGCGCGTAAGTGAGACGAGCAGCAGCGACGAGTGCACGCAAGTACAGCGGGAGGTCTTGTGTGTGTGTGTGTCCGTTTATTCACAACTACATAAATCTGGGAAAATCGCGCTGACGCGATAAATAAGAAATATCCAATGCGTCTGATATCGCAACGTGTAATCTGCGTTAACACTTGATAAAAAAAAAAAAAAAAACAACATGTTCAATGTGCGCCGACTTGCACTTATATTGGATGACAACGGAAGATGAATATAGAATTGTCTCGCTATTAATTAAATTAGAAATCGCGACAAAATGAGAAAATTTCGAATGAAGTGAATATAACGAAATCAGATGGTACGTTAATTTTATTAAGAGACATTTTATTAACTATCGGCAAAAATAGTAAAATGCTTTGTTTCTCATTTTGAATGCTTTTAGTAATATTTATTCTTCTGGAAATTGGCGTGTTTTCGAAGAAGAAACGCGTTGTACATATAATTTTGATTGTGGTGGAAAGATTAAGAAGATGTTCGCGAATACATAGATAGTGTCGCGCGCAAAATCGAAATCGACGCTAAAATTGCTTGGATTCGATATCACGTACGCGGCACCGTAAACGCCGCCATTGCGAGAATCGGAAACGTTCCTGCGTAACTGTCGATGCCGGCGGCACCAGAGAGAGAGGAAATTGAACCGCGAATGCGAACTTTCGGCTAATGCGACGTCATTAACCCGCCTTAGGGCAACGTTAAACGGGCTATTTTGCATAGTGGCCAACGAGGAACAAGGGCCAACGTAGCTTTCCGCATCCGCGTATGTCGTTCGGGCTCTCGCAGAGATGTGTGACAATCGCGCGCGCCGGCGGCGCGAGCGGCGCGATTTGCAGTTTACGGCGAATCGATACGCGCGCCGTAGTTTTGTTAACGACCGCATTAAGCTATCACGCGAGAGTGCCATTACCAAGTCGATCGTAAGTAAACCCGCGGAATAACGATGCTGCGTGGAAAACGCGCGCGTCGGGCGGAACGTGCATATGTGTGCTAGATCGCGCGCTGGAAAGCGCCTCCCTTATCCGGAAGTGCATCGTACGATCCAACGAACCGGACGACAACCCCCCGGTCGTTAACGTTGTACGAACGCACCGGAACTACGATGTATAGAACGCAAGCGACACACACGATACAATAGTCATTACGTAAAATAGACATCGATAGACTCTTGCTTGCTGCCCTTCGAGCGATAGCCAAATTTATGTATTTCGTATATTGCACGTGTATATGTTTGATAATAATTATAATTGACGTATCTCACAAACACACAGTCATCGCAAAAAAAAAAAAAACGAAAGACATAAGAGCTAACTCTTTTATTTTTCGAAAGTTTTATATCTCGTAGAAATTTACAAATTCATTTTATACACAATTCTCACCGTGATAACTCAACGGAGAAAACTGATTCCGAACAGGTTGGACTTCCAAAGAGACGTGAGAATTCTAGCCGCTCTGGAGGATCGCAATATTGCTCGGGTCTTAGGTGCCTGTCATCGCGAGGAACCATACTGCGTGGTGATGGAATACCTGGAACACGGGGATCTCTGTCAGTTTCTCAAGACGCATATCACTGCCGAGGACGCACATTCCATGCCGATTGGCGTCAAGACGCTTAGGTAACTTTTTAGCGACCGTATTCCGACAACACATTGTCTTGCAAAGTAATAAAGACATTTCTCTCTCTCGTCGAGACTCTTTAAAAATGTGATCGATACTGATGTGATTTCTCAATCAAAAAAAAAAACGTAATTCAATCTAACTTGCAGCGCAAACTTTCGAAATTATTTAAAAATGATCAAACTTCTATTTAGTTTTTTTTTTCTTTTACGATACATCACTTTCAATTATTTTTCCGCTGACTTTTGTTATTTTGTTGATGTGTTACGAAACAGCAATGTTTATTAAAACATTCGCTGTCGCTTTACTCGAAAAAAATGGCACGCGCATAGAATGTTTCGTGTACCTATTCCTGCGAAAATTGAACGTTCCCAAATAAAAGCAACACAATATCTTCAAAAAAAAAAAAAAAAAAAAAAAAAAAAAAAAAAAAAAAAAAAAATCAAATTGGAGTACCTTTCGTAAATAAAATTTGCAAAAAGTCAACGAGCGCGCGTAACCCGGTGGAAGCAATTACTTTAAAAAAAAAAAAAAAAAAAAAAGTATATTTGATTAACACAATACGAAGATTTTCGATCGTACATTATCGCCAGATGATAATACGAACGTAACTAAATATTTCTGATGTTGCAATTATATTTCCTGTTCGCGCTATCTCTTGCGATAAAAATTCTACGTACTCGAATTTAGTAATTATCGAGAGAGACCGATAACGACGATGATATTGTAAATTTCAATTTGCATATAATTTTCAACGGGGTAAAAGAATTTCCAAGTGTAGCGTTCGTCCATATTGCTGTAACGAGAAAAAAAAAATGTGCAATTTATTTGACAAAAAATCTTAAGTGCGTTTTATCTAACTCCATACTCCGCGTTCTGGAGGATATCTAACTCCTTGTTAACCTGACATTATGCGACAATTCGCCTCTTGCAGCGAAATGGCGCTGCAATATAGATATGACTATTCCGACGTGCTGCTGCACAGCAACGCGATGCTGTTACCTGGGCTTAAAGTATTCGAGATTACAGCTTCCAAAGTGTGCCGCAATCGTCTCTAACGAGCCGGGGCACGGTTTCATTTCCGACAAACTGCCGTCGCTTGAGTTAACACGCAATAAGTTTCTCCTCGCGCGCGCGCGAGTTTGACGCGTTTATTAATCGTGAGCGACGCATCCAGTCATCGGGGCGCACAAGACCCCGAAATTCTCTTCGTCGACCTACCACCACACCTCAGAAGGAATCCCTCCGAGGTGACGGCGGTCGGGTGAGGATTCGCGAGTGTGAATACCTTAACTTCGTCGCAGGAAACTCACGCCACTTCGTCGTCTCGTTTCAGTTTCAACTGTCTCATCTACATGGCGGCGCAGATCGCGTCGGGCATGCGGTATCTGGAGAACCTGAACTTCGTTCATCGGGATCTGGCTACTAGGTGAGTATATATACAACGGGCGACTTTACCAAAACGAATCTCTCCTGTGGATTCTCGATATTCTCTTATCTCCCGAGAATAAACTCGCATTCGCGCACGCGCACGTCTTTATCATTCCTGATACCGGTATTTACTCTCTCTCTCTCTCTCTCTCTCTCTCTGTCTCTCTGTATTTGAACATCTCGTATAGTTTTCGCAAATTCGCGTGAGATGAGACGTGATTTATGTGTCAAAACTATAGACAAATCGAGCGTAGATATAAGCAAGAAATTTGTTTTTTAAACGCGCTGCTAATTTCAATAATATAATTCCATAAATTATATTTTTTAACCTTGTGTTATTTTAACACACACGTATGCGGGATAAACGGTAGAACATTTTTCGAAACTTCTCTGTCACAAAGCGTGCGTGTAATTCTTAGATCAGATGGGAATGTAGACTGCATCAAAAAGATTTGAATACAGATGTGAATACGAAGTCTTTTCCTCTTTGCCCGAGCTTATCGATGCGTGCACGATCGAGATGTAAGATTGCAGGGGAATCTTCTCGGGTATCCGACGTAGCGCGAAGAAAATTACGACGCGGCAGCCATATGTGCGCGGAACAATTTTTGACATCCTCCAGGAATGATTCCGGGTTGCAAAAATAATTTAAAAAAAAAAAAAAAAAAACATCACTTTACCGCGCGATTTATTGAAAAGTAATTTTTTAAAAGTCGGTCGCGAACGCGCGCGCAGAGGAGAGTACGACCTGAATGTCGCGGCATGGTTTTTACGTTATTGCGAAAAGAATAAATGGATCTGCCGCGCTCTTGATTTATTCTCTCCCACTCTTCGGCGTAAAACTCACTCACCCACCGGATGTACTTTCCCACCCTTGCCTCGCCTTCCGCTTCATCGACCAACAAGACCTCTCGCCCGGGTCTATCGACTTTAAATCGTCGAATCGAGATTACCCTTCGACGGATGCCCTTAAATCTTGTTTGAGATCGCGCCGTCTGCTTTAATTGGCATAGTCTAATAACTGACAAAGATGTCGCAATCCTCGCGAAAATAATGTGGTCGTGCTTACAAAGATATATGACAGGAGAGAGAGAGAGAGAGAGAGAGAGAGAGAGAGAGAGAGAGAGAGAGTAGATGGGATTTCAACCACATTGAGAGCCCGATGCACCCGTTAAAACAAGGACGGGGGCACCCGATATCGATTCCCCCTGTTACACTCTCAGGATGAAATTGAATTATACCACTCCCGCAGTGCATTTCCATAAGCCCCAAAACAAACGGAGCCGGGAACCGCATGGGAAATCAGCGATTTGTTAGTGAATCGTCGCGAGGAATGCAGCGAGAAGAGCAAGCAGCTAGTTTCCACAGCGAAATGACGGAGTTTGTCGTATTGGCGCGATAGAAAATTTTAGTGTTTTATTTTTTTACCCGCTCGTATATAATTTGAATCGTCGTAAGTTATATCTGGATATCGACATTGTGCGGTCCCTCGCGGACCACTCGCAAAGAAACTCTTCTCTGGATTTTTTTTTTTTTTTTTACGGGAGCCAACCCCTAAAGCCCGTCGGCTTCGGACACACAATAGGCCTCTCTTCCTCAATCCAACATAATGCTGTAATATTTGTCACCTTTTCGGTCGCTTTTTCTTTTCAACCTCCCGAAACTACTTTTCTCCATCGTATTCGCATTATCGACATTAAATATAAATCGAGATTATATATCGCGTGAGTGCTACCAACTTTTGGTCCAAAGACGCACATCTTTAATATGTATTTTTCGATTGAAGTACGTCATTCGTCGTTAAAAGCACGATTGAAATACAAGAACGTAAAAAAACTGAACCTCAATGGTGTTTGCCAAAGAGAATTATTGTTTATTTTTCAAGTAAAAGAGAATTGTGTGCGAATAATCATAAAATCATTAAAACCACTACGTTGTGTAAATGTTTTTGTCACATTGTCTTTCATCTTATATTGATAATGTAATTTGTACAATCAATATTATTTAGAGGTCACATTCTATTATACATTTATTATTCATTCACGTCACGTTTCGCCGTGGTGTATATTTTTTTCGAATTTCATACATTTTTCTTCAAATAAGCTTCGGCGTAAGATTTCAAAGGCTTTTAATATCGCACCGATAAACCTCCGTAATGATCCCGAAATGTATGTATCGTATACCGATGACCACTGTGATCTGCGAATACAAAGTATGTACGCCCTCCGTATATAGAACGAAGTCCATCTACGTGGCTGTTATTGAAATGCAATGGCCATCTCTCGCCGAATCGATAGGACGTTTAGATGTACATATGTGCATATATGTATGTATATCTTCTGCGCACACACACACACACGCGCGCACGCGTATATTCGCGCAAACCGCCGAAGCTCTCATAGCACGTGGGACCTAGTTTCCGGCTGTGCGGACAGTGTCTCTCAAACGTTTGCTCATAAATCTTAAATATATAGTATACGCGAGAGAGACACTTCCTCCGCGCGAAATTTCTATGCGGCATCGGCCTCGTCAGCATTACTAAGAGCTTTTGACACGATTCGACCCGTCGATCGCAGGAACATCTTAAGAACCATCGCCGGAGCTACTTCTACACGTCATCTCTGCTCCTTTTTTTTTTTCTCACCTTATTTCATTATCATGATCAAGTAAATCAATAAAGTGTTTTTCGCGACAAAAATTTTTAACCATTTTCAAGAAACTTTTAATGGAAGGCAGTGTGTCTATGCTCGTCGCAATCACAGCGAGCCACACGTATGTAATGCTTTAGTTAAATTTTTAACAGGCTACACACATACATACATACACACACATATATACACACAAAGCTTTATAAAATTTTTGCGATACTCGCATTAAAACCGCGCGCGGCAGGTTATCCTTGTCTGTGCTTTTGTGGAGAGAAAAAAATGCGCGATACGATCCGATCGCGTTGCAAATAGATCGATGCCTTTTGTACAGGCGCCGGGATTTAATCAAAATTTAATCAGAATTTAATGGCACCGCTGAACTTCCACTTTGATGGTATACGTCAGCGTGACGAACCGACGATTTTCAGTGAAATACGCGACCGTATGGGAATTCCACCGTGGGGCATAAATTCTTCGTGACTGGCGGCGTCAAAAGAGAAATGGACATTGCAGATATCAATGGCGCGTACGCGATACTTTCAAAATGCATTTTTGTTCTTTCTCTATCGGGGGGGCACAAACTCCGCGCGCACGCGATTTATCTGTCGCAATGAACGAAAAAAAAAGAAAAAAAAAGAAAAAGAAAAACACGAACAAAAACATTTTTATTCATTTAAATTGCACTCGAAACGGAGAAAGACAAGGAGAAAGAGGAGGAGAGATTCAGGAACTATGACGTTTAAATAGAATCGGATCTCGAGGAGAATCGAGAAATGTTCTACGTAGGATTTCCAGGTTCGAGACAAACTGCCAATCCATTGTAGCCTCTTATTTCATTCGCGAGTATACGCAGTGTGTATATAGCTATAGAGTCATTGTCGAAAGCGAGCCAAGTGAAAAAGAAGGATGGGATCGATTGCTGATCAAAAGGTAATGCAATTCAATTGACTCGGTTGGAAAAAGAATACGGGGGGACGAATGAGAGAAGATCGATAGCTATATGTAATGGTTTAAAAGATGGAAAGGAATTCGCGTACGCGAGTAAGTGTTTGTCGAAGTGGAAGAAATATAAAAGGCGGTTATATATTGTACGCGCACGAAAGTAAAATCTCTCGAGTCAATCAGAGACAGAAACGGTTCGCCGTTAAAGCTAATAATGTTATTCTGTTAATGGCGACATCGAGAAGAGATCCCGGGGTGATGGCATGTGGGAATACTGCGCGAATAAACGTACATCCAAGAGGGTAGTAGTAGGAAACAGCAAACGTTTCTGCATTCTGTATTCCCGTACGTGGGTATTTCGCATTCCGGTAAAAGAGATTTCCTTCATCCTATTTTGAATCGCAAATGTATCGCGCGAGTTTTCTTTCGTTTTCCTTCCCTGACAACTGCAGCGTAGATAGTACTTAAATATTGGATCTAGGTGGTGTTTTTCTCTATACTATCAATTTTCATATTTCGAATATTATATTTGATTTTTCCTCTCGCTTTTTTTTCCTCCGACTAACTTTTTTTTTACTAATATGAAGATTTATATTTTTCTACGGAATTAAAGTTACTTTACTTTTAAAGAAATAAAATCACATCGTGTTGAAAAATATAAAAATATGAAAAGTGTTGGCGTCAGAGCGGAGCTGTTGACGCCAACGTTGACGTCAACTTTTCGGATGTAACTTCGAAGGCGATAGAAAAAGTCACCGAGGATTTCTCTTATTCCTTTTCAAGCGCGCGCGCGCGGATACCGAAGACTGTTGCGCGCGCGCGCAAGGGTTTTATCCTTCGCTGACGAGAACTTACGTGTTCGAATAACCGTTTAAAAATTCAAAGAACGGCTTTTCTCGTACGTTCACTTCCTCGCGCTGTACTTCTTTCTACTTCACTCGGGGAGCCGTTTGTTTCTTTTGCGACGAGCATATCCAATATTCAACTTTCAATCTAACTTCGGCCCGAACATCCGACTTCAAACGTCGATACCCTTCGGAACCTCCGGGCTTCAATTATACAACCGCGCCAATCGGCCGAGTACACTTAACGTTCTTGTTCCTATCGACAATAGCTCCTGAGCCTTGCGTCAAATGGCCAAGTGATTCTCCGAGTTTAACTTCAACTTGCAACTTGCACAATGATAGAGACGATTTCTCCCTTATTCGTCGAAGAAGTCATCGCGAGTCGGATGTAGACATTCCGCGCTTTCTGAACAAGAAAGCCTGCCTTTGTTCCGATTACAGAACGCGAAGAAGGCTTTTCGTCGCGCTTCTTATATCTCGAGATTTCGGTCTTCTTCTCTCTTTTATGATCTCTCTCTTCTTCACGCTTATAACAGACGCGCTCACTATGTCATTATTATAATTCCCCGTGTTTTCCTAATACAATAGTAATTCCGTATTTAAATTTCTTTCTTAACATGTACATTATAACACAACATAAAAGTTTATCACAAATAAAAAAATCAAGTAATAAATAAATTATTGAAATGTTTAACGAATATCCCGGTAAAAAATTTTTCATGTATAAAATTGTATGGACATATTCGGTATATATAAATTTGCATAATTAGATATAATAAGTTTAATTTGTGTATAAGTATATATGATTATATATCAAAAATTTTTTTAAAATATAGTAAACATATAGTTTTATATACTTTTTTTGTATCTAACATGATACTAATAGAGTTATTTTGTAATTTGATATAGAATATCTCTGAAGCCATTCTCTTAAAAAAAGAAATTCTCCGTGTATAAAATTGTATGGACATATTCGGCATATAAATTTGCATAATAATTAGATATAATTATTTTAATTTGTGTATAAGTATATATGAAAAATTTTTTACCGGGTACTTTTTTTTTAGATATGACGATATCAGAGCGTGACAAAGATTTTGATCGAATTATTGTCTTTGAAAAGAGATGATAAAATAAATTAATCACAAGATTACAGAGATTACATTATAGAGATCGTCACGTGTGATTTACATTGTAACAGTTTGAATATGAGGCGTGAATGCGGCTTATTGCATTACTGTCGTACTCTACTATAATATATAGGGGAGAACCCGGGGTCAGCCCCCATCAATGCAGTTCGCCGATGGCGAAGTAGCCAATAGCAATGATCGATAAAGCGATCCCTAATTAACTAGGTTCTGCCGCCAAATTGGAGCTTTGTTCCATCGGTGAAATTAATTGATTCTATCTATTTCTCATACCCCCTTGCTGCTCTTCAGATAACGTTTGGTCGGTCGTATCTCAGGTAGCGAAGATTAGTCCCGTCTTTAAAGCGAACTGGTCAACGCGTTCGGAGCTTTGAACGTAGTTTGTATAAATGCTTATCCGTCTCTAAGTTCTCCTCGGGGAATGCCTTGTGAGAACGTATCTCTTATGAAACTCGCTCAAAGGGCAAGTAAAATGAAACATCAAACGCATTCGCGATAAGATTAAGTAACCAACTGCATCTAATATATATATATATATATATATATATTAACAACAAGATTTTAAAATAAATATTATCTCTGCAGCTGCTACTGAAGTTAATGTGTTTCGACCCTGATATTATTATGAAAATTTAAATACAGATATTTAGCTTCACCTCTTTCTCAACACCGTTTTTATTTTTTCCTCTCATAGGAAACGAATAATTAACAACGATCGTTGCACAACAATCTGATATCGATATAAAGTTTATTCACGCATCACGTGTACAACTAGCACACCTCTCTGTGTGCTCGAACAGGAAACGTAGCCCAACCACATTCACGAAGCAAATGTTGCATGTAGACAACCATTCTCGCTTCCGGTTGACTGCCATGCACAGAATGCGAACGTGTATGCAGATTGGCGGGTGCGCTATGCACTCCACGTAGCAACGAGAGATCAATCTGACTGCGCCTCTTTCGTTTTAGACGAACCGCCGCTCGGAAAAGTATTCAACTTCTCCAATCGATAACGCACACAAAACTAACAAGTAACTCTCTCTCTCTCTCTGTTCGGTGTCCTGAAATACTCGATATTCGGTAAAGACCGAATTTGATTGATTTCAATCGAAACAAAATAAGAAATTATCAAACATTTTGCAGAGAAAATAGATCTAAAAAGAAACGTGATAACAAATGAAATATTTTTTGCTTTTTTTGTGACTTTTAAAGTTCAAATATGGTATTTTGCAGGAACTGTTTGGTCGGTAAGGCTTATCACATCAAAATCTCTGATTTCGGTACGGACAACGAGCTATACGCGAGCGATTACTACAAAGTCGACGGAACTATGCCATTGCCGGTACGATGGATGGCCTGGGAGTCGGTATTTTTGGTAAGTTGCGGATTTTCAATTATTTTTTTTATTATTTTATTACTTTAACAACGCGCGTTATACACATTTATTTATAATCTTCAAATAAAAAACCAATGTATTCGAAGTATTATAAATATACAACGTGTATATATACGATTTGCAGGGAAAATATACGACCAAGAGCGACGTGTGGGCTTTCGCGGTCACCCTCTGGGAGATCCTGAACCTCGGCAGGCGTGTCCCTTACGAGCACCTATCCAACGAGGAGGTGGTGCAAAGTCTGCGACAGCTGCATCACGCCGCCGACTGCAACAACGCAGTCAATTCTGAGGAGAATTGCAAAGAAAATACTCGTGGTTTCGACCATCTTCCGCGACCTACCGCCTCCTCCAAGGACATCTACGATTTGATGCTCGAGTGTTGGCGACGAGAGGAGAACGAGAGACCGACCTTCCGTGAGATATCGCTCTTTCTGCAACGGAAAAATCTTGGATATGCTCCAACATCCTGATATTGAGCCTCGAACTTCGGCGAGCACGATGTTCTTAATATTCATCCCGCGATTCGGAACAAGTTCGGTTCTGAAAGGGATCGACGAATGTGCAATGACGGGCAACGTCCTCATTCGAGGAGCTGCAAGACATGGACGAACAATAGTCGAGTTAGAGAGAAGAACGGCTAGTGAGAAAAAGAAAAATTATATGATAGGAAAAAGAAGAGGACAAAAATTTATATCGCGACATCGAAATGATAAGTACAACGATGGAATTTTATTGCCTGTCAAACGAAAAAACAAAAGCTGGGATGTACGAACTTCAGGACAGGAATCTATCGATCGTTCTTCATTTTCGTCTCGATGTATCTATCTTGCGGACAACGAGTAATAACGGACTGGAAGTAAAGTTTTAGAGTAGGAAGATAGAAGAAAATAATAAGTGTGTGGTGTGCGTGTGTGTGTGTGCGAGTCGTGTTTGTCTTCAAAAAAAAAAAAAAAACCTACGACACGCCGGAATTTCTCGTCACACCTCGGACAGCTCGGACTATCTCGCGTCTCTGATCGTCTTCGTGAGATTTTTAATAGCAAAATTATGCTCGTGCATATTTTATCGATATTTGATTGAGAGATTGCGACAGAGTCGCAACACACAGAGACCACTCGCGCGAGCTTCGTGAGACGGTCTTACATAGTCCGTGACGCAACTTCTTCTCGTATTAAAGAAACGTACAGACAGCCCGCGAATCTATGAATTGACACGACAATCGAACGAGAGAGAGAGAGCACAATAAACTAACTATGCCCGTTGCGATAGATAGTCGCTCTTCTGAGAATCTCGTATGCAATCCGGAACAAAGAGACGGACATATTCGTGGGACCTCGCGAAACTGAAGAAAAAGGATTCTCTCGCAATCATCGAGAATCGTTTAGGAGCAATATCATGTAATGATCGTAAAACACAGCTGTGAACATTCCTACGAACAAAAATGGGTACCTATATGCGGCGCGATAATTGCGCGAGTAAGAAGAGGAATATTGTTACTTAAGGAGAATATAATTATAGGGATTTCCCCTCTTCGGGATTATATCATTTCGATACGAGGGTTTTAATGAAAAGTATGATGATGACTCACATCGACGTACGTAATATAATATAGCGGCTACGATGTTAGATGCTACGACAACGTTCGAGTTTTAATCGTAAAACGTAATTGAATGTATTCGTGAAAACGTGTGGACACTTATTCTCTCCCTTTTTCTCTTTGTCACCTTCCTTTCGCTCTCTGTCCGAACGTATATTAAATGTATCGTCCGGATATTCCGGATTTATTTGAGAGGCGAATTTATACATGTGATTTTCACATCGCGGAATTCTTTATTGTCGTAAGACCAGTGCTCGCCAAGCTTTGAATAAAACGAAGACTTTGCGCGGCAGTCGTAAAAGACACATACCTCTCGCGAAGCGACAAATAAATCGTCGTTTTTACTATTAAATATTATCTGGCCATGAAAAAGAAATCTTACTCGTCTTTTTAACGCTAAATCTTTGTTTATAATCCGAACATAAATCCGTATGAGATATATTATATCGTGAATATATTAACGTAAGAATATTATATAGCTTCTTTAAAGACGAATGGCTGTAAAGATTTCTCGATAGCAAACGCTTTATTTGAATGGTATATCACTATTGCAATCACAGGTATAATAGTTTATATATTCGATATCCACACAAACAAGAGATATATCTCAATATCTGGACGAAGTTGCGTCAATTTCGCAATGACGTTTCTGAAGATTTTGTGCGGCACGATTGGATAGATTATTCAAAAAATAATCATTTTTAAGTAATAAGTTTTCGAATACTAGGAATAGATGTTTGAAACATGTTTCAAACGCTATTCGGAGTTTAATTTTGCGGTTAGAAAATTGTTTTTTTTTCTTCTTCTTCTTCTTAAATTGACGCAACTTCACGTGTTGAGCTATTCTTGATGTCAAGTATACATGGAAAATGGAATTCGTTGATGTCATAACTAGACGAATATCGTAATAAGTCGTAAGTGCAAGTAGACGAAGGATAACGTTTTAATCTATTCCGTATTGAAAGAGGGTAATAGACTACGTATCATGACACATCATAATTGTAACTTTATATGATAGGCGGGATCAATGAAAATTAGAATATTGTACATATATATACGCGTACCGTAGTAAGGAATGTTATATTATTGCATTTTTGTCGAAAAATGTGTTTGGATAAATCAGGTAGACAAGAAAAACTAAAATTTATCTCCGAGAGAGTATTGCGCAATCACTTGTAATTTTGGTATTATCGTAAATATATAGAACGTTCAGAGGTAATAAGTTATTATATTAACGAAAGTTCGACATATCGAAATATTCTTTTTTTAGAAATAAAAAAAAGATACGCGATAGAACGGAGAATATTTCTGAATTATTTTTGGAAGTTGTGTAAATGAAAAACTCGTTATTTATATATTCAGTCCGCGCATTCGATTCCGAAAAGTTCTCATTACACAATTAAGTTTCGTGTATCTATTTATATACATCAGATGTGGATATTCTATAATTTATGCGATATTTAGCGAATAGGGAAAGAGGGGGGCGATGTTACCGTTATATGATATTAAAATACTATTTATATAAATTAATGTAATATTATCGCGTAAGGAGTAGATGATACGGAGGCATAGCCATACGTAGTTAAAAAACAAAAAAAAAAAAAAAAAAACACGCGTTGAATTTAAACGTAACTGGAATTGCTTCTATATCAGATTTGGGATCGAAATGTATCTGAGACGAGTATGAAAGAAAATCGCGTTCAATACGAGATAGAATATTATCGCGCATGGGTTTTACGAGATAAATAATATAAATATAGGGGAAATCCTCAAATCTTGCCGGAGGTAAAAATAGTAATTAGCCGATTGACTGTGCGTTATAAGTGTAATAATTAAGTGCGTAATTTACATTTTGCATAAGAGTATCAGACATATAATTTTTCGTGCCATCGCGAAATTTTGGCCGATCAATTTTTCGCACCGGTTGTGACTGAGTTAAAAACAATAATACCTATTATCGGTAAATTTTTAGTCCGACGCAGACTGCCATCACTTTTAGACGATAATAGAGAATGAATTGTAGTTGCGTTTAGATTCGCCAATACAAGCATAACGCTGCCTTTGGCTAATATTGTTGCCCCTTTACTGCTAACGAGTAACTTACTTGTCTACTCACATGTGATAATTTAGTATATTTCTACGTACCTACCTGTACCTACTAATTCGAAAATCTTTATAGCGAAAGGATTACTCCAATATGTTTTTTTTTTTTTTTATTTTGTTTCTGTTATAAATTACAGCAATAACTTCAATAAAAAAAAAAAACCAGTATCGAATAAAACAAAGTGCAATCTAGTGTATCTTCATTAATAAATTATCAATCTGAAGTATAACTGCCTCATGATTGAACGGAAATTGAATCATTAACGGAAAAGAAATAACAGTATAAAGAAAAGTGCAAACTCCGTGTAATCCTTTCTCTATGGAAAGATTTGCTCTATAAATCTAGATAACTCACTTCTACCTAGTGTGCCCTTTTTCCAATGACGGTATTAATTATATTTTTTTTTTGTGAACAATTCGAGCTCTACGCGCATCACCCGAGGTAACTGTTCAGAACCACAATACGTCAGAGATTTCGTTCGAACATTGTGAAGCATGAACACGTTAGATCGGAATCGTAAAACAATTTAATTTCTTAAAAGCGTATCATCTTTAATTGCGCAACGATACCTCTAAACCCAAATCCTTTCTATGATACGTTACTAAATGTTTTTTTTTTTTTTTTTTTATACATATGTAACGCGTATAATTGACAATCACGCGCTTGCCTCAAAATTTAAAAAACGTAATGAACATTAATATATCACGACTTTTTTGAAAAACACTAATGCAATAGAATTCGCATTTTTATAATATACATTGCTCCTATTGTAATTTGAAAAGCACGATTATTAATTTGCATAAATTAATTTTAATTTTTGTAAATTGAAAACAAACATAATTTTATTAGCACACAAAAATATTATTTTTCCTTTTTTTAAAAATTAATATTTTACTTATTTTTTCTTTATATATATTATTTTCTTTATATACATAATAACTGGATGATATGCTAGCACAGTTTGAGAATAATTTTGTATAATCTACAAATATACTCACATTTTTAGGCAAGGAACATATCATTGATGTTTCGATTAAATATCAGATTTGCACATATCGTATACGAACGACGCGGATTTAATTTGGATACATATATAATTTCAGACAAAGTTAAACAGTAACACTGTATCGTACAAAGAGTAGTATCGCCCTGACTAAAAACCGTAAATAAATAAATATGTAATTATCGATCTTTTTTTTCGCGCGGAAACATATATGAAATATGATTTTTCGATATATTCGATTGTTAATCTACGGTGGAACTGCGAGGAGATCTACAGGTAATTGTGGAAAAATTGGGGAGAGCTCATCTAGTTATATCTTCTATCTAGGTAAGGGCAACGCACGGCCATATCACTTGGCTACGGCCGTATAACTACTTTGCATTATAATTTTGACAATACGTTTGTTTTTCTTTTCTCAAAAATTACTCAAAACTTTTTCTCGAGATTGATTCAAAAGTGCATTCAGTCTCCGAGAACTGCAACGAAACTGACCACCGGCCGCGGAGGTTGCCCATGCCTGCTCTACGCTATCAAACCTTGATCGTTATAGTCATAAAATTATTTTGTACTAAGAACTGTTTATAATTTTGTATCTAATCTCTGTAAATATCGAGCAGATTGTCTATGAGTAATAAAGCTTAAACAAAAAACTCGATTTAAATAGACTAAATAAACAGAAAAAAAGAAGTATATATATATATATATATATAAATATATATATAAATACAAGTATTTATAATATATCTATTTTACTTAGTGCGTAAGAACAACAATTCGAAGAGAGATGTAAGTAAATTTCGCATAAAGGCGGATCGGTAATGTAACAATGTACAACGATCTAGAAATTATTTGTATTATAAAGACAACACAATTAAGGGACAAATCATAAAAGTATACATGTTACTCACACACACCAGTAGCTGTGTGTATATACATATTATATATATATATATGATACATTTAGAATCCAACTAGTCACATGTACGACACTTGATAACAATTAAAGTGTATCCCTGACGAAAAAAAAAAAATCGCGAAGTGCGATGTGTGCTGTTCTTTGATTATCTTTGCTATAATAGAAATATTTAAGATGCACAATCCATTAATGCAATCAATAATTCATAGACAGATAAAATCGTTAAGTTATAATAACGATCAGAAATAACAGATCAAACTCTCGCATCTCGTCTCACAAAGCAAATTATTAAAAATTTCAACTATAGTTATTCACAACTAAACTCAGCTCGATCAATCGCGTGTGTACAGTGCGAATAAGTTTCAGCGAAATCCGTAAATTTTTGTGCATCGTAAACACCTGAACACATTTATATAACTTATACGTGTATATTCTCATTAAAAAAGAAAACATGCAACTTGTAAGTTTCATTATCCATTATATCTAATTTAAAAAAAAAAGCACATCGATAAAATCTTATTTATATTAAACGGTCGAATAAAGTCACATTATTATTATTTTATAAAGGTTCCCTCACTTCCATACATATGATTCTCCTATAAGTTTGCTCTTCTGTACACAGATTTACATTTTGTTACGTTTTGATTATTTTCCTATAAGACTGTTAACAATTATGATTTTCTAAAACAAGATTATAAAATTTGCATTACACGTTTAAGTTTTTCTTTATTTATAACGCAAAACACAATATAAATAGTTTTTACAGTATAAAAGTAAACAACAAGTAAAAAAATTTATAAAAAAAACTATATGAATAATAGTAGCATAATATTTTACATATATCACATATAAAAGTAGAACTGGCTCAACGATCTCGCGGTGTAGAAACTGAATCTGTGAAAGTCTTGAATATGAATCTTACTTCCATCTTTTTGGAATTTTTTTGGACCGGTTTCTTTCAATCACGTTTATCGGTTGAAAGCTGTTATCGGACCTCCAGAATTAATTCAAATAAAAATTCGAATTTTCACAAATGCAAGTCGCGTTGAATGAACTAGTTCTCATCTGACCATTGAAGTTCTGGCGACATGAACACGAGCCTAATATGGATAGTGTTTATTCACTATAAAAGACGGTCGTGCATTGTTTGCAAAAATCGAAATATTCACGTTTTTTGCTTTGTTTATACATAACTAAAAGTATTTAGATATGTTTCGACCATAACAATAGAACTTTCCTATAGTAAATTTCATATCTAAACGTAAAACTTTCCTATTCGACGATATATATTTAGTATGTGAGTTATTACATATAGTCGAAACACACACATAAATACTTTTAGTTACGTATAAGCAAAGCAAAGCGTGTACATCGAGAAAAAGTGAATAATTGAAAATGTAGATAAAAAAGTTGGAAATGTAGAATAAAAGTTTTTCGTGCGAGTTTTAGTTTTTTTTAGAAAATTAATTTTAAAAATAAAACAATTGATATTAAATTTAATTACTTTTTGTTACTTTTAATTAACTTTACTTCTAATAACTTTATGTCATAAAATATCAATGAATTTCAATATCATTGTTATATTAATTTAAAAAAATAGAATATTCTATTCAGTAAAGCTTTTAAAAAATTATACATAATTATATATTAATAATATATATGTAATTTTATTAATAATCTTATAAAAATTAATTTTTGTTTTATATTAAGTGAAGAAAAGAGAATACTTTCTTTAATTTATTATTTAGTACCTATATGTATGAAAATTGATTAAAAATTGAATTTGTGAGTGAGGACAAATTTAGTGCTATACAGTGCTGTACTTTTTCAATCAATATGACAGATTTCCTAACCTGAGTCATCATTTAAAACTTTGATACTTTAATACTAACTTCTATACTAACTCGCTTCGCGACACTTTTTTGCCAGATTCTTATGTTTTATGCAAAAATGTGTCGAAGCATAAATTCATTGATCGGTACTGTCAGATAAAATACAATTACTATATAAGTTTTGGAGCTATCATTATTATGATTAACACGGACATAGACATGTTTTATATCATACCACCAAATGGAGAAATACCTCTTTACATTTTAGAGGATTGCGTCTTGTCCAGATTAAATTATTTAAAGCATCTGTATGAAGACACTATTAGTGAATTTGATGGAAATTTTGAATATTTAGTAGAAAATTCTACTTACGATAAAATTGGACATTTTATGTTACGGTAAGTAAAATATCAAATGATAATATTTTATATTATCATTAGAATTACAAATGTTTTAATTCTTTGTTTTAGATTATTAGCCTGTGTATCATCAGATTTATATACCTACTGGATAAGCAAAGAATCATTGTTATTTAAACATAGATTAGATCATATATTACCTAAACATTTACACAAATTACTAAGACAAATTATATGGAACTTGCAATTATTTAAACATGAGAAGAATACAACAGAAATAACTCTGATTGAGTTATGCAAATTTTATTCAAATCCCTTAGTTTTTAAACATTTGGTGTCAAATTGTCACAACTGTAATGATTTTCAATATAAAGGTACAACAATGAGATATAACAATATTTAAATGTCACTTGAAGATAAACAGTATTATTTATTGTAAATTTCAGTAAGATTCGAAACATTACCAGATCTGATAAAAGAAAGAGAACTAGAGCTTAAGAATGGGAGTGTTATTACATATTGTTCAAATTGGAAAAAAATACTTCAGTCATTATTTAGTAGCTATATAACTAATGAGCTGAATATTACGAGGAAACAAGCTCAGCATACTATAAAACATGATCTTAGATTGACTATTTTACAGCGGAAAGTTGATTTATATCTTTTCAAGAAGGGTACTAATCATGGAAATATAACTATTGATAACATAGATACTGAAGTACAGAAATTTCCTTTGTGTATGCAACATTTGCATTCTGTATTAAGAAATAGGCACCGACTTAGTCATTACGCGCGTTTACATTATAGTCTTTTTCTCAAAGAAATTGGGATGAATCTAGAAGATGCAATTATTTTTTGGAAACAGGAATATTCCAAGCCACATACTTGTACTTCTACATGTTCACATAATTGGCAATCCAATGAAAAAAAATTTGTATATAGCATCAGACATATGTATGGCTTAGAAGGATCTCGAAGAAATTATAAAACACCTAATTGTAATTTAATTTGGGCAAGTATAAAAATTTTTTCTTTTTTGTGTGTACATATTTTTTCGTAAGTAATACTATATAATCATAAGAAAGCAGAATAAATTGTTTATTAAATTTCCACTATACATTGTAGGCTGGTGTTAGTGGAGTATATGAAGGTGGTTGTCCCTTCAACAACTTTGATACAGATACACTCAGAAATCTTTTACAAACTTCAGTAACAGAAGATCAAATGAAAACGTTTCTAAATAATGATTCAATTAAGAGACCAGAAGTTCTTTGTACAACATTTCGGAGACTTACGGTTAAAGACAATATTAATGACAGTATCATCACAAATCCAGTACAGTATTATAAAAAACTTACTAATTAATATATATATATATATATATATGTACATATTTTTATATTTTACATATAGAGATTTATATATTACAATTTATATAATTTAAAACTTAAAACTTTCTATTCTATCAAGATTTCTATTAACTCAAAAATATTTTGTACATATTACACAATAGTTATGAATTATTAAAGTTTATCAATTATTAAATGATTGTAAAGCACTTTTTATAACTTGCCTAGTTACACCATCTCTAACTAACACGGCATGTACTCCAAGTTTTCCAACTTCTACAATATTTCTGGATTCGTCATCAAAAAAAATCATATCTTTAAAATCGATTTGAGAATTTTTTTGAATACTGAAAATATTATATTAAGTTTTAATTTTATCATTGTTGTACTTAACAGTCAATATTTTTGCACAAGACTTACTTAAAAAAATGTGTGACTTTGCTACCAGGAAATATTTCAATATATTTGAAATATTTTCTCCATCCAAATAGATCTAATAATTGATTAGCACCCTTTATTTCTGATGTACGCGATGCTACACCAAGTTCATATCCTTCTTCTGATAATTGTTTTAATATATCTGGTACATCAGTGTAGTATTGCACAGTTTTACCATGTGCATCTACTATCTTATCATGTGATCTAAAATTGTATTTTCCTTAACATATTAAAATACAATAATTGTTTGGTCCAATTTCTAGTAAAAATAAACAAACCCTTTTTTAAATGGAGGATCTACATGAGTGTCAACCCAAAATGGCCATAAAGTGTAATCTGGAAAAATTTATTATCCTATTTTTTTCATTATTTTAAGTAATTTCTTACGGTAAAAAGAGAAAAGAAATTAAAGTTACAGAAACTTTGTTATATAAAGAAATGAAAAGATCTCCCACAACTAATAATTTTGCACATATGTACCTAAATCGAAGACAATAACTTTCGGTTTTCTCTCCATTTGTGCGCTATTGCTGGTTCGAGTAAAATTTAATTTCCTAATTCTCAGAAAAAACGTATTACATCCGATTATGATTACTGGCCTTTGACAACTGTATCAATGACGTGTATCAGAGAGAAGACCAGAATGAGAGCTGAGAGCGGCCAGCTCCATAAAGGCCATTGCACGTGGCAAAAGTTTAGTAGTAAACGACGTAGTCGTAAGGTCGTAAGCAAATCGACCAATCGCTGGTCAGTATTCCAGCTAATGTAGGATAACATTAGTCTGTAATTGGATGAATTACTTACGACCTTACGGTTACGGTTAAAATTTTTTCACGTGCAATGGCCCTAATGGCTAGTCTACAATGAAGGTAGTAAGGCTGTAGAAGTAGAGAGTAAACTATTTTTCGGTGAAGAAACAACGGGAATTACGAAATGGGCAATTCCCATTTCGCACTGCCTACTGCCTTACTGTTAGCTAATGAAAGACGTGTGTTAAAAAACGCTAAATAATTACTTGTATAGACAAAAATAAAAGAACTCCAAAAACCTTTTACTTTTTACTTTATATTGCCTACTCCCATTGTAGACTAGCCATTATATGGCCCTAGCCGCTCTCAGTCTTCTCTCTGGTTGTATTTTCGTGGATGCGATTGCAAAAGCCAATCAAAATTTGGCCACAAGCTTCAAGCCGGTTCTACATTGATCGCAAAAGCAAACGCAAGGACTAGATGTCGTAGAATTGACTAATCACGCTGGTCAATTGGCTGATTTGATCAATACGATTAGTCAATTCTACCAGATATGTTCTTTGCATTTGCGTTTGCGATCAATGTAGAACAGGCTTAATAGCTTTTCTACCCTGTAAGTCAACGCAATGTCCACAAGTGGTGCACATTGGCAACTACGTAGCCATATCCACGAACGACTTGTCGGTGCGTACACTATGTCCAAACATTGACATGGTTCTATTCCGTGCTACGTGCACGAGTCCAACTGTCAAATCGACACCTGACCCTAGCCGCTCTCCGCATTCTTCTCTCTGCTAAAAATACAAAATCATAAAACTCAAAAAAAAGTAAACACGAAAAGAAAATAGATAACATAATAAATATAAAAAAATAGATAATATACTAAACACGAAAAAAATAGATAATATAATAAACACTAAAGATAATAAACAAAGTTAAGGTCTAATTATCTTTCGCAAAATAATGACGATATTCTAAAGCTTTGCAATTTCTGGCGCAATTCAAGCGTAGATTTTGACGCACACAGGGTAAACAAACCTGTCGCTTTAATGGAATTTGAAACATCGAGAACAAGTGACTTTCACAAACTAACTAATATGTTAGGTAAAATCATTTTTTATCGATATAATATAATGTTCAAAACTTTAATTTTACAATCAACAAACATAATAACTTTCCTATTTCTTTTTTACTCTTTAACTAAAACTTTGAGACTAACTGTTATAAAATCTTATTGTAAAAACCCATTTATATTACTTCACCTTGCACTTCCAATGTGTGTATCTTTATTACATATATATCACTATCTTTTAAACTACGAACTTTATTAAACTTGTATGCTCGATATTTCAAAATTTGTAAAATCGACCGCTACAAAAACACCAAACAGACAAAACTTATCATCATGAATATGTGCCTGATTATGTCACGTAACATATCCCATCTATAAAACCTACGTAAACTGCTTTTAAAATAGATACTTCTCTCACGCACACAACAAACGAACTGCGAAAATACACATGAGCGTAAGTATATGTACATACTACTTATGCACGCAAGCGAATAGTCCACGACCGAATGAAACCTACAGCATCAAACACAATCGTTCATACACAGCATGCACGTATTGCACATATGCTTATGCTACAACATATATACTTATACAGCCTTCACACGTGAATAAACCGCACGTTTTTTTTTTTTTTTTTT